CTTGAGCACCATGCTTCTTCCAAGCGCATTACTTTCAAAATATTTACTTCTTCTCATCACTATTTCAAGCACTGCAATTACCACTGATTAATTGCACCAATATTCACGTCAATTCTATGCATCGATAAGGAGCATCCGCTATAAAAGCCTCTAACCGGTAGCAATTATCTTTCGAATTCTTGCTGACAGGATTGCCAACCGATGATAAAGTCGCCCGCATTAAGTAGAGCTGTCGCAGACATATTTATGCATGTCGTGTATGTATATATGTATATGTGTGCGAATTAGAGTCTTTCAACACCGGCAGCTAGCTAGATAACTATTAATAATTATGGAAGACACTTTAGTGGGCAACATTGCTGCTGTTGCTGTTGTTTTTGCGACTGTGGTCTTCTGCGAAATAATAGTAGCAGAGACGGAGATGAGTCTAATAACACTCAAATAGTTATCTGGTCCAAATCTAATGTGTTGTAAAATATAAATTTGTGAAATGAAGTCTGAGCTAGAAGGCTGCTGTGGAAGAAGACTGGAACGTGTGCAGATACTGACACACGCCGGCAGCAATTGCAGTTAGCATAGCTGTGTAGCAAAGTCAGCTATGACCACTTTGAGCCACCATAATTGTCTCACTTTATGTGGTCACATCATAAGCAAATTTAAAGTAGAGGAAAAGCAAAAGGTGGCAAGTGCATACACGTTATTCGTATTCATGTAGGTATGTATGTATTAAATATGGTATATTTTATAAAACACGTCACACTTTAGACCACTAACTTGCCAAAGGATTAAGCCACTTTGTATACTTTTGTGAACTGATAAAAATATTAAACATTTCCAGCAAATTTATTGATAACTTAAGTGAATAAAGCAATTTGGATTATTAGTATCATTCTTACACACAGTGTTCTAACATACTGTATTACTCTTTATGTACCTATGTACTCGTGGGTATATACTTGTATAGTAACAGTTATGCTTTGAGTTCAATATAATTAATTATACCCTGAACAGGGTATATTAAGTTAGCTGCGAAGCTTGTAACACCCAGAAGGAAACGTCGGAGACCCTTTAAAATATATACACAACTGATCAACACGATGAGCTGAGTTGATTTAGCCATGTCCGTATGTCTGTCTATATATACTCAAACTAGTCCCTTAGTTTTTAAGCTATCGATCTGAAGTCTGGCACCTGTCCTTTCCTCACTGAGAATCTGCTCATTTGTCGGAATGGCCGATATCGGACCACTATATCATATAGCTGCCATACAAACTAACCGCTATAAATTAAAATGAAAAACTTTTTTAACCTTTTATGCTATCAGAAATGCACTTGAGAAGGGTATTGGATGTCAATTGAAACATATTCGTATATGCACAAAAATAGAAAGCAACAGTGACTACAGATTTATGTATTTATTACTTCTCAAATATAAAATTACTAAATATTCCTTGCCCATTTAGTAACAGAACAATATATTATACAATATAAAATAGAAAATCAGGTTTCATTTACTCAATTATGCATAACAGAGAGTGTTCCGGAGTATAGTTTTGTTCAATACCGATAACGCTCGAGTTCGATTTTAAGTGGTTAAATTCTACTAGTGTAAGCAGCAGTGTAGTTTAGCACAGTAACAAATTATGGCTTCTTAAAGTGATTACATCAGGTTATATATTATTACAAGCACGACCACCACTTTGTTTAAAAATTAAGGAAGCTTTTGTTTGGAAACATTAAAATAAAATATATATAAATATATATATGGTATATGTATATATGCACTGTTGTAGCAGCATCAAATTCAATGCTGCTATTTTTATGCACAATTTAAAAATACAAACATAAGCGGCACTTAAGGTCGGCAATAAAAATTACTTAACTTAAAAAACGAAACATTTTACACAGAATTACTTTCTAATGCTATAAACAATGAAGTGTTCCCGGTATATCTACTCCGGCATCGCGTAGCTAAAGTTAGTGCCAATTTGTTTAGCGTAAGTGCTTGCTAAGCATTCAACACCCCATAAAAGCAATGAAGAGCAAACACCAGATTATTTATGTAAAAAATCAAATATAAACAAAGGCAAGGGAAGTACGTGTATTTTTATAGTTTCTGAAAGCCGAGCGCACTACAAGGAATCAATTAATTAATGCACTTTTGCCGGTAGTTGCACTTATTCACATAAAAATCAAACACCAAGTCGGCAGGGCACAATAGTTGAAATCAATTCATGAAACGTAAATTTGAAAATAGTTTCAAAAGCATTTGCCGCTGGATATTTTCAGATCCGCATTTAAAACGCAAATAAAAATAATAAAGTATGAAATAATTTATCCAACATTGATATCTGAAGTGCAGGCAGACGAAGAAGCAACATGTAACAAGGTTTATTCAAGTGGTGTGAGTGAGCTCACCACTCTACTCCCTGTCTAGATTAGTTGGATAAATTGCATTTATATGCATGTGATATGGCGTCGCTTAAATGCACTTAAATGGAATATTTGAAAACCTGCTGTACTATATATAAATCTTACATATAAAAAAATATGTATGTAGAATGTTAAAAATGTTCGCAGTTATCACAAGTATTTTGAAAAATTGTATAAATCCATGAAGCATGGCCAAAACCATTACAAGAAACATAGAAAAAAATATTTTCAAAAAGAAAAACTGAATATACTTTGTGAAATATTTATTTGGAAGACCGAACCTTAGTAACCTCTAGGTTATATGATATGCTATTAACGAATATATATTTACATATTTAAATCTACCATCACAAATCTTTATAGATTAGAGGTACGAATATAGATAGACCAGCGGTATAAAATTAAATTGATTCTTACTTAGATCAGAAAATATAACCAGGAATAAACAATATCAAGACTAGTACAATATCAATCAAATAGAATAAGTAACTCAATAGCGCTTGCCAATGGGTACTAAAAATGTGTTATTTATTTATTTGTTACACGTTCGAAATAAACAGATTTCAATAATTCTCAGTGTGTAATTAGGTTATTATGATAAGTAGCTGTCTCCGATTCGCCATGCGTTGGAGAGTAACCAATCGAACAAACTATACCAAATGTTCATATGTTAACAGTAACATAGAAGATAGTGGCTTTAATGAGGTATCCGCATATGCTCTTGTACAAATTCAACTCGATAATTTTGTTGTTGCTTTTACGTCTAATTTTTTTGACAAGAGAGCAGCGCGCCAAGATAGCGAGCAGAAAAATGGCGAATCGAAACCGGCTGGTATTTATTAATTTTAAAACTGAAGATTTTATACCACGGAGAAGTCGAAGTAATATGTAGCACGTTTATTAGATTACCCTTGCAAAATGTTGCTACAGAGTATATTAGTTTTGTTCACTTCATCGTTGTTTGTATCACCTAAAACTAATCGAGTTAAATGGGAAGATATATAAAGTCACTCAAAAAATTTTAACAATGCGCCGAATGCAAGTGTGATCAATTTAGAGACTTTCGCTTTAAGAGTTCGCTCGTGCACAGAAAAGTGATTCCATAAAATATAGGAATACAAATTTGCACGAACTTCCTGGTGACGTCATCTTATATCGTTACTGGTTTGTAAGGCACCTTAATGAAGCTCAGAGGGCATCTGTTTGTGTTAATAAAATGTACTAATGCTAAAAATAAATTAAAGATTTTCAAACTTCCGGTTGCCCTTATAGCGTATATATCGGTAAATATATGAGATACCTTAGCAGAATTAACTGAACGTATAATATTGTATATATATACATTATTTTAATGCCGAAAATATGTGAAATTATATTATACTATATATAATGATTTCCGTTATTCTAACAAATAATCTTAATCTCATATCCCTAATATGACCAATTCTGATCTTCTGTTGCGTTTTGCACATCAACTCAAAATATTAAATTTGTCATCTTCGGTTAAGCTTAAGTCAGATATATCTCATTTCATGACACCATTCTCTCTATGAATATGAGTGTGGAAGGCTAAACCAAGAATGGTTTAAATGAGTTCTTTTCTTTAGTCAAAAATTCGCAGCAAACAAATATTTAGCCTAATGATATACCCAAGATTCTCAGCTGCGATGTATAAAGATTATGTAGCCATATTTTTAAAATTTGTTAAAAGATGAGCAGCAACATTGAACGGAGCTTCATACTTCCCCTCGTTACTTTTGTTTGAAATTATATTTGGTGGTCATAAATGGTAGTATTGTACCAAGCGAAGTAGTTATTTTACCTAATAAACTTTCATAAAAAAAAAAATTATTTTGTGCAATTTGTACATATGTATACAAATACATATGTATATGTAAATGCACTTAACATATGTACATATATGGTGTATACATACTTGACTAACATTTTTGACAATAACGTTACCTGTTTGCTAGCCGAACCGTTACCAGAGCAGAGAATGTTAATGAATACTCATTATCATATTCATTATCATTCTCCGCCGTTACATTTTCTAAACTCTCCCAAAATTAACATTTTCTGCTAAAAACGGCTTTAACATTTACGATATTACAAACAAAATCTTCGAAGAACCAAGGAGCACAAAATGTACATTATTTGTAATCTCTTCTAAAAATATCAATTTAAGTATCAGAACATATGTCTTTTACAGATATAAATCAAATTAGCTACAATCTTATAAACTAAGCAGCATTAATAAAGACTTTCATAAAACCTGAAAAACATATTTCGAAAATGAAGCAGTTAGCAGTATGTTACAAGTAGGAAATGAAATTGTATGGTTTCCGTTCTCTCTGTAATCACTTTTGATTCAAGCAGAGAGTTTTACAGATTTCGAAGAGATGGTGAGCGCTCTTCTTCGCCGAGCACCATTGTACTCCACTGCGATATGCGTGTGCTCCAAAACTTCATGAGCCACACTCTCAATGCCGCAATCCAACAAATCTTCGCTTCTGCTGCACGCAAGAAGCAAAAAACCAGAATAGATGGTAGGCGTTTTGAAAAGAGGCAAAGCAGAGAATCGTGCGTATTAGATATTATTGGTATACATTCAACGATAAACATGTGGTCGCCGCAATACTGCTTTGTCGGTTCTCCACGGCTCCAACGAATGCACGGCGATTGAGCGCACAGCGATGTTACTTCGTTGGCTCGTTTGCTGACCGGTTCGCTGTGTTGCACGTTGGTGGATCGGCTTGCTTTTCCTGCTATAATCGACTGGTTGGTTGAATTGTTAGCGTTGGCTCCCAAAACGAAGGCAACGAGCGATGTGAATTCGGTCATTTAGTAGAATCGCGAGCTCAATACGGTGCACACGCTTTGAACGGATGAATGGCGGAGTACACGTGTATATTTTGACGACTAAAAACAGTGAATGTGAATCAGTGACGAGGCTTTTGTTTGGGTGAATTGGTTTATGTGCCATGCAAGCTAACCGTTAATCACAAATATTAATACACAATTGAAGTGAGAAACAAATTGAAATCGAAAATATCAAGCTGCTCTTATGGCGAAAGTGTATTGTGTTTCTATTATTGGCAAAACATATCAAAAGCAACGAATTCCCTGCTTCACGGGATGCGGCGTTCGTAATATGCAGTGTTTGCGGTTAACTTTACATATAATGGCTTTCGCAAGAGCTGTGCTTGTGTTGGTGCTTGAATGAATGCTTGCATATGAGTTACCCGATATTGTGGGAATATTGCAAATGAAATCAAAAAACAACAAATGCAAAAACATAAGCCATCTACGATAGTGATTCGGCAAATAATTTAACAGGTGCGAAAACGCGGTGCGACAAATACAGAAAAAAATAGATATATACTTCAATGCGTATGTATGTGTGTGAGCGATAATACCAAGAATAATATATTATGAACGTGCGCTTGCATTTGATCTGTAAGTGTATGCGATTTCCGTTTCCTCTGTGTTAAAGTGTTGCAACCAATCGAGCGTGGCGCTGTCAAATCAATGTTGCGGCAGTAAAATGAAGGGACGTTAAGTAAGGCTAGATATACCGCTAATCTGGCAGATAAGACAAAAGTATATATGTATGTATATAGGAGCATGTGAAATGAGTAAAACTTTTAAAAGCCGCAAGGAGAATTATACATAAAGCGAATAAATTCAAATGTTTGTTGTGATTTAACATAAATATTTGAACACTTACAGAGGAATTTAAATAATTTTGCATCGCACAAATATTATAGAAATTTTATAGGAGTTGCATAGTAGCCATTATAAAAGGGCATTAGACTAATAAGTTAATCTCAAAATAACGAAAAAGTAATAATGTGATTTTAGTTGAATTCTGAAAAATTAAAATGTTTGTTTCACTATTCTTTCAAAATGCAACGTACCGATTTAAAAAAGAAATAATAGTAATGAAAGATTGTGTTAGGCAAGTTCTTGAAGATTTTCATGCAAATATGGACTACCATGATTAAAACGGTAATCAATTATTATAGCCCACTTCGACATTTCTGAGTCAATGACTAAGAACCGCATCATTAGAAATTTTCTAAATCACTTATCATCTCAATTCCAACACAAGCTGCACTTGAAATGACCTCATTCGTTTTATGACAGCTAAAAGTAAATAAATGTAGAAAAAATAAAGAAATTTACCCACACATTTGCAACTAAATGGATAATTATTCGTAGGCAAGTAAATTAGCAGATTTATTCGAATGAAAATCTCCAAAAATTAAATGAAGCCACAATATAAACATATTACACACAGACAAAGCAAAATGAGCGGTAATCAAATAAAAGTCACATCAGCGCAGATTTAAACTATAAACAATTATTTCAGAAAAATTCTAGGAAAATAACAGCTCAGTGGCGAGCTAGCATGATCTTCAGAGCCATATTATCAGACTGAACGGCCACTTTATTTTTGGCTTCGGCTGAAAATCATTTATTCTCGTTTATTTTTGTGCACTAAGTTGGTGGTAATTGGAATTTACGACGTAAAAAACGCAAAAGGACGTTGGGAATGGAAGAAACAGTAAGAACAAAAGCTTAAACGTGGGCCAAGACTAAAAGCTTTAAGGAATATGTTAGCACAAGCCGGCTTATTTCAGCGAAAGTTATTTATTTGCATGTCTGCGTGGGAATGTGCGCTCCATGCGCCGAGCAGTATGCAGCCTGCGAAATGCTCTACCTAAAATCCTACCAATATTTATTCATTTTTACTGCACTCTTAAGCACCCATAGCATGCTACGCTGACTGCAAACTCTGTCACCGCCGACAGCGAGGTTGTCTGGCACGTGGCTTATTAAATCAATTGGCAGCGCGGTGCTGAAACGGCCGTTCACCCTCATTGCACTAACCGCAATTTACTCACTCACACCACAATTGCCACTGATGAGGCTTCTGAGCTACACAATTTGTTCAGATCGACTGGTTATTACCATGCTACTTCAGTGTTATCCCACTTTTAGCATAGTTATTTGCGAGATAAATTTTTTCAACTAAATTCCGCTATTACACTAAAACTTTTTTCACAGATTGTGTGTAGTTGTTGACATCATATCGGATGCATACAAAATGTATAACCTTCTGTGTGGCCTCAGCAGCACCGCGCTCGGTCTCGCCGACGACCAATTCACTTTTATCGCCTCATTGAGTGTTTATAAAATCTGCACACATCCCCAGTCGCTGGCGTCAAAAGTCTTTACATCTACCCTGAAGATAATTCGCCATGCTATGAGTTATTTATGCAATTTTCTTCATCCTTAATACCGAGCAGCTAAGCAAATAAACATGTGAAAGCTTGCTTGGGTATAAGAAAACCCAACCGTTCAGCCACCCACAGCCCCATGGATCGGGTAGAGAGTACGCTATTCGCTAGTATTTGCCATACGCTTCGTTTTGCTTCCGTTTGACCCCGAATGCATTTACTGCAGCTTGCCTTCTATTTTTAAAGTAGCACATAAACCAGTAGCTAACTAAAACAGCTTTTCATGCCCAACAACTTTAACAAAAATAGCGCAAATGTTTCTGAAAGTTTTCTGGGAAATTTGTATGACGCACAAATTTTTAAGCAGTTTAACGCTCGCTTGTTTAACTTATTCGCTGCTGGAGGTTGCTTTGTTATAGCCAACCATTTTGGGATGGTACTTTTGCCATATTAATTTTAAAAATATTAAACGAAAATTTTCAAACTATTTGCTCAACTAAGAAATAATGCTTTTGTAAAACTCTACTTGAGTTCGTGTAGCGTATTTATTTTAATTTATAATAATAGGTAATTTTAAAGATTTTCTACTATAAATATGAAAAATCACTGAATATTTAAAAAAGTGACTCAAGCCTCTTTAGTTCTCTAAGACTACACAAATTCTAGGTGGCAAAGGCCTGTAAAAGTGAGAAAAGAAGTTGAGTCCAAAGCAAGCCAATTCTGGAAAGGTTGCATATTTCTGTCTTGACCCAAATAACTTTTTAGACAGATCCACTTTCTGGTCTTTAAGAAGATTTATTTTAAGTTTGATTATAGTTTAACTCAGTCAAGACTAGATTAGTAAGAGCAAAGCAGAAAACTAGTTTAAGAAACTTTAAGATTTTCAGTATACTCTGAAACTATTTGTTATTTACTTTAAATTTTGGTTGCTTTGAATTCACGGAGTAGAAACCTTCAGTTTGCCAGTGCTTAGCCTCAGTTTAGTAGAGGCTTAACGAGATTAGTAGCGTCAGCTAATAAAATCGACAAAAATAAATGCCATAAAAATTTAGTGTAATAAAATCAGCGTGAACTGAAGTCGACTACGCACGTACCCTTAAGCAGACAGGCCTAAATGAGTAAAACTTGGTAAATACATATCTAAGAATAATAAAGAATCTAGAACTGACACACCGACTCAGCTGGCAATTAATTTATCAGCTTTACTGCAGCCAATTCCTCTACTCTATACATATGTACACAACCTGAACTATCGCAATTTTTGAGATTTTCCAACATTTCTTCGCTGCTTCCACTCACTTATTGTTTTTTGCTTCTGCGGGCTATTGAACAGCTAATCGAATGCTAACGTAGAGCTCTAAGCTAACATTCCTGCTAAAATTAATGCAAATTGCGATTTAGAATTTAGTAAGCTCACCGCAAATAAGTGTCGATCAAAGCAACAAAAAACGATTCGGTCGAGCTAATCAAGCCACTACAGGTGACTAAAAAGTGGTACTGGAAGCGCAGGTTTCTTCAGAAAAGTTGATCTTACTTGGTGCATCTATAACGCTTCGTTATAATAAGTGCTTTGAAGGTGAGTATTTTACAGTGCTACATATATAATTATACTAATCAAATAAAAAAAAAAAATACTCAACACATTCAGATTTTTTCCAAATCCACACTAAGAACATTTACAATATACATATGTACATACATGATAGAAACAAATATACTAATAGAGTTTCGTAATAGTTTACACTTTTTTGTTTTAATTTGATGTTTTCGCTTAATGGCAGCTAATGGGATTTGGCATCTCAAACTCCGAAAGTGAAACAGAAAAACACAAAGTAAGAAATCCATTCCGACACGCACAATTGCGTGCTGCCTTCAGTATTCACCTCAAATTAAATTTTTCCTCCAATCCATCGCCAATAGTCGCTGATTTCTGTCTGACTTTAATTGATTGCTCTGTCGAGTTGCTTATTTTTGGTGTCGTTTTACATTCGGCGCTTTCATAATTCGTGCGTCCGTCGGTTTCATTTTAGCGGTTAATTCCAACTGTCGAAAACAGCTGTGCTCGCTTTGTCAAGTTATATACACATATTTATTATACTTTTGCAACATATATACATATGTATGTATATGATTCTTTTTCTTGTTTTGTTTGCAAGCATTGAAATCATTGTCGAGTTGTTTATGTGTGCTTTTCATATTCCGATCTAGTGATATTTGGAGATTACTTAATACTCTGATTTTATATAAAGATATATTCGCCTTTTAATTATTGTAGTTTTAGATATTCATTACAAACTTGATGCCGGGTATGTTTCTGATTTCTAATCAGGTCACAAGTTATATATTTATATATTATATTATACAATGCTTATTTGCATAGAATTTATATTATTACGTCGCATTGTCATGTCAGTTACAATGTCAAATTCGAACAAATACAAAAATCCATAACTACCTACACTGCACCAAGAAGTGTAGTACGAGTAAGTAATATGAGAAACCTGTAATTTACTTAGATTATTATTGATGGGCGGAGTTCACTTGTTATATCGAAGGAGGGCTTAGTCACAGACATACGATTAATTTATTTGACGTCTACTAACAGCTCGTTTTGGCTATTTTTTACCATTGTGTTATTAAAATGTTTAGGAATTTTTTTTTTATTTTTCCCCAGTTTTTTCTTGTACTGCACAATTATATATGTATTTAATAAGCTGGCAAAAAATAGTTTTCCATTAGCCTTTTTTTTGGACTTACAGAACTACGGCGCTTATGTCGTAGGTGCATTAATTATATTTCTTTTAATTTTTTCACTTTTTTGTACGTATGTATTGCTTGACATATGTGATGTCATAATATTGTAGTAAAATTAATTTTGCGAAAATAAATTTATACAAATAGCTTCAAATTCAGTCATGTAGGTCCAAAGTATCATTTCTCACTGTTTTTACCTAAAACTAATCGAGATAGATATGAAGTTATGTATGTGTAAATAATCAGGACGACAAGACGAGTTGAACTCCGAGTGATCTGTTCCATGGAATAGGATGAGTTCGTAGGTGGGCGTAATCGGACCACTGCCACGGCAAAAAA